AGACACCTACCGCCGTGGCAGGCCAACCACTCCACAAAGCGTTTCCACACATTATTTCTAGCAATAGCAATCAAACTCCCAGAAACATCCATTGACCCAGAAAATCCTCAAACGCGGTGATAGCATACAACCAAAACTAGCCGCGAGACTACTAGCGAACCCGGAATGCAATGAAACAGGAAGGCCCCAACCAACCAAACAAGACTGAGAGCCCATCGCTCCCGCTGGGCACGCGATGCTGAGCAAAATAAAACAGTACTCCAGAATGCAAAAATAGGAATCAAAGATCACAAATCAAGACATAACAAAAATAAGAAGAGTCGCCGGATCCTATCCTTGTACCACTACTCTCATCGGTCAAGCCATGTTCCACACGCACCCCTCCCCCCCAACAAAAAAATGGGGTGATGCTAGGAATGCTTACGGTCTAAGGACGCAAAAGCACGTGGGTGGGGAGAGTCACTGTTTAACAGAGCGTGAAAACTACTGGTTTGTGTACGGTCGTTTAGTGACGCTTTAGGTCTGACGGGATGTTGAACCGTAGCTCCGCACACGGGATGTGTCACACACCGTGGCCGACCCAACCCGACCCAACCCAACCCTCACGCCAACCCTCACCCACGGCCAACGCATGGCCTGGCGGCCGTCATCTGGGTGAGAACGTGACTGCGTTCTCGAAATGCGGAACAGAGAGCGAGGGCTGGAGATGAATAAACCGCTCGAAACAATGCTCGACCAATCAGGACCAATCAGAGGGCGCAAAAGCCTGTAGATGCGAAGAGTCACTAACACACCATAACTACTGCGTTCTACGGTCACTCACCGGAACAACAAAAACAGATTCATACACAAGCTACATATGACTTCAAAGAACACCATGGACAACAAAATATACAAGCCTTGATGTACATGCATTCCAGCCATCAAACTCTCAAGAACGACAAGACGACAACTGTTCTTGACGGTTTGCGCCCCGCCTAGGGTGGAGGAAACAGGGGCACAAGAGCATTCCGCCGCCCGGCCGGTTTCTAGACTGAAATATCGACAGGCTGTCCATATATCAAGCTAGGCAACTTCCTAAACCTTATTGGACCCTCTTGGCAAAGATATCCACAACAGCTGTCGAACCAACCACAATCGCGTAGGCAGGGCTTGGTACCGGCTGCTTCGGCTGCTTAAGCCACGGCAGCAGGAGCCTTCGCCTTGAGGATGACCCGCAGCTTGTCCTTCGGCCCGTTAGCGGGCAGGGAGCCACTGAAGCTCTGAAGGCGAAGATATACACGAGGCAACCAAGCGAAACCGCACATGCGATCATTGCAGGACGTTACGGTCAAGAACAGTTCGAAACATGACGAAGGTCCTGTTTGCGACACGAAAGTAGCTTTGTCAGGGTGTGTAGCTCTCAATACACACAGATGATGAAAATATATACCCAGGTTGGTCAAGCAGGAATTTTTTCTTCACTCGCCGCATGGATGAACCCACGAGGCACTGTGCCTACGTCGCACATTCTTTGTTTCACGCCCAATCGCTGGGGGTCACAACCAACCGCACCTGCCCCTCCACGACCTCAAAGTCGAACTTGGGCAGGAATGTCTTCATGAACAGCACCATCTCGAGTTTCGCTAGCTCTCGGCCGGGGCACATGTGCTTCCCGAAGCCCCACATCGGAGGGATCGGCTGCCCTGTGGACCTGGCACCCGCACCAGGCGAGGCCGCGCTGTCTGTATCCTTCTTTTCGCCTCCATGCAGGAAACGGAACGGACAGAACCTGAGAGAAGACCAGTGCACGGATCGCCGTAGGAGGGATAGACACGCGATTAGGGCCACGAATCGGTGGCAAGAGGAGAAGACCGCCTCGAGTAAACAAGCAGCATAAGATCGATCTTGGAGCAATACCCAGCACAAAAGCTTCGTCCAACCCTTCATCATGGCGTACATCGCTTCAGCGTGTTGCAGACAAACCGCACGAGTGTTTATGCGGGTTGCCCCGTGGTACCGTTGAACCTCTGCAAGGCCAACGTGGCACTCTCCAAGTCGCACGTCCAATTGCTTGAACTTACAAGTTGGTGCAAAAATCGAAATGAATATGGGTTGACAACAATGAAGGTAGCCCATCGCAGAGAAACTTGTCTGCGTGACCTCTATCGGATCTCCTTGCCGGGGGGGGCAACACCGTAGGGTAAGGGTACCACGAGTCACGGTGTCACGGTGATACACGAGATGAAGGAGATGGGAACGACAGCGAAATGCAGCAAGTCTGTCACCTGACGACCACAGCAAACTTACGCAACGAATGGCAACTTTACAGAGGGGTGGAGCTACGCGTCACACTTGGTGCACTTTTTCACGGTGCTAGAGGGGATTGGAACCCTCCGTGTGACCACAGGGTGGAGTAAAACGGCACAAATGCTGCGAGCGCTGATTTGAAGACAAGACAAAAACAAAAAACGACCGACGGATGGATGCGAGTTGCTTTCTTCCAATGCTGGGCGATCGTGTTCGTGTCTTCTCACTTCCTCGGCTCCGGGTAGAGGGTCTCGGCAAGTGAACCCTGGTTGAGATTCCAGCTAATCGTTTCCCCCTCAGGAATGAGGTATCCGTTGTAGCTGATGTCCTTCCGAGTGGTGCGGAACACAGCGCCGACCGAGGGATGCAACCTTTATGGGTAATTCCCGGAGTCACGTGCCCGACGGCGAAAAAATCAGAGCGAGCACGGGACACAAAGTTGTCAGGAATCGAGAAATCATCGTGGGCCTGCAGCAGAATTCCGAGGCATCCTCAAGAACGTGCGACCGGACGACTTCCATACAAAGCAAAACAACGCGTTTCAAACCTTCAGACCGGCGTCACCGCTGAAACCTTGGTAGCAAAGAACCCGAGGGCAATTGCTCTTCCAACTGCAGTGAATCGAACAGTGTCTATTAGGTTTCCCCGCAGGGGAAACAAGGAGGGGTGCCTCGGGCCAACGAAAAAGGATGACTGAGCGGGTGTGTGTACCTATCTTCGGTACATTGGCTCACCGATTGGCCTCAAGGACTACGGCATTGAGCAGCGGAAACGATGTAAACAATCCGGCCCCCGGCAGGCCGGCGGCGGTGCCGTCTTCGCGTTCGCCATCATCAACCGTTGCGGCCTTGCTGAGCTCGTCGATGAGCTGGTCCATTATCTCCTTGCCGTCCTCAGCAGTCCCGAGGAGCTGCAGCATGCGCGTGAGGGTCACCGAAGTCGTGTCCTTCCCCGCAAACAAAATAGTGATTACCTATTTCGGACAAAAAAAGGTGCAAAAAACGGACACAGAATTGCCAAAATCGGACACTAACAAACCAGAAGTGACCTGTGGCTCTACACGCGGCCTACGATGGAAGCGGTGTGAAATTTCCAGAAACATGGATTCAAGGCTCGGGAGCATTCGCTCGGCACTGTACGCAGGGACAAGGAAGAGGTTCTTGTTAAGGACAAGCTTGTCGCGGCCCGTACGTTGTCAATGATGAAGTCGTCGTCGAAGGAAAAGCTGCCTTCTTCGGCGTCCATCTGGTACTGTTTCTGGAGTTCGAAGAACGAATCCAGAATGCCGCCGCTGTTGCTGGCGCCCATTCCAGCGGCAACATCCGCGCGGCGCCTTTGTATCAAGTCACGAACAACGTCTTTGTACTCTTGTCTAGCGTCCATGGAGCTTCCGAACGCGAACGTCGGGAGTTTATTTAGAGGCGGCGGGAACCTGTACGGAAAGCTGAATAGTCCCGTCAAAAGGGCAGGGAGGAGGCGCTTGGTGTCTTCCATGAAGTTTGGAGTGGCGTATTCACCGAAGAGCCCCGCCGCGATCGACTCCAGGGTGAAGTCCGTGATGTCGTCCTGAATTTCCACCTCCTGTCGCGGACAAATTAAGTGTTGACAAGCACGATGACCACTAGACCTCGGGCAATGAGTTGCACGATGACCACTAGACTCGAAGTCAGCGCTGACTAATAGTCTAGTGGTCATCGTGCTTGTCAACATTACGCATAGAGATTGCTCTGTCACGGGAAAGACCTCACGAAAAAAACACCGTTCTCGCGCACCAAGCTGTGTCGGACGTTCTGTAGAGGGCTTGCTCGAAATTTGAAACCCGGTTTCTAGACTACAGCAGCACGGAACACGCCGGGGGCGGCGCCAGTCAACCTCCCATTGCTCCATACACCCTCGACAGCAACAGCAGCCATCCTCGAAATACGAGCAACCCATGGTTAAAACCGTCTGCGTACAGCACTACTGGCTCAATCGAGGATATCGCTGACTGGGCAGCAAGTACCCTCCCATTGGGTCCTAAAAAAATCGATCAAAATGAAATCACCAACCTGTCCTGTTTTGGCGTACTCTTCCCATTGAAGAACCACCTTCTCAAGAGCAGATTCCAGGATTGGCTTTAGCTTGAGGATAGCTTTAGCGGACAGAGCTTCACTGAAAACCCTTCTGCCGATTGCGTGCGCCTCCTCCTGCGTGCCGAGGGTGCTGATCGATTTTTCTCCTGCTCCGACCGACATCGAACCGGGCGGCCAGGCGCGCGGGATCTAGATCGTTTCAATAGCTGGAGCGGTTGATACATCGTCGACCGTTGCTTTTTTCTCAAACTCAACGACGTTTGTTGAAAAACATACGCCTCAAACCTGAAGCACTGGTGATAGAACCAACGGTCCGCAACGCACAACCGGTGGAAGAGGGCCCTTCTTCTCTTCGAAGGTCTCACCCAAGAGCTGGACAACGCTCTTCATCCAACTTTGGTAGACGTTTCCAGCTGCTTCCTCCTTTGTTAACCACTTCGTGCCTCGCTGTGCAGCAACAACCTATTGCATATAACATCCAGAAAGAAGATGCATTGAAGAGGAGCACGGAATGAGAGTATATACATGTGGCTTGTCGCAGCCGATGTCGATATAAAGAGGTAAGTTGTCTCATGCCTCAGCTGTTCTCTATAACCGACCCCTGACAAGACACATCCACACGTTGTTTCAGGCTCTGAAGAAACAATACAGTTGTGTCGCTCTCAACAAAATCTGAGGGCGCCAAAACACCCAATGAGCTCCGAGCTTGTTCTTGACCTACCCTGGATGTTTGTGTGTGCCTCACTAACAACGTATACGGTTCAACAGAACATTCTCAGTCGAGCACGGTCGTGCCACGCGAAATTGGACTCGTTGGCCGACGGTCAATCTTGCACCATCGTCAACTGCTTCCAGCGTCACATTACGCAGTCTACGGCTCCACGCACCTCGCAAACCAATTCCACAACTCCAAACTGAAAACAAAACAGGCGACATGATGGGTGCCCAACGTCATGGTATCAGGTTCTTTGGGTTTGGAGCAGTTCCGATATTAACCCTAGCCAAAGTCCACTAGGGAGTCGTTCCATTTGCAGGTCCTTACATTGTGTGCCGAAAGGTACCTGGAGTGCCTCGCCTAACGTGAAAAAAAATACCGAGAGACCAAGATAGAGACAAAGAACCTGCCCACCACAAGCACGCACATTGACAACGTGCACCCCGGCCACACGCTACTTGTAGACCTAGTTACCTATGATCATGCTAAATATCTTTCATGTCGGATGGACGTCGTTAACAGAATCAATGCAAAGATCCAAACTTGTTGTGGAGGTATGAGCCGTTTAGTCAGAACAGCAGTGCGAGATATGGCACCCCGGTGCCGTATTCAGCACCGCCGCCGTAGAATAGCACCAGTAAGCTGCTCTGTGTATTTATCTGGGCATCGCGTAGGTCGGAGAGAGGGCACCGGGGTGCCTTCAAAAGATACCAATATCTAGATGGAACATGTAAACTATTTACTGTAGTTGTCTTCCGCACCGGGGTCGGAGAGGAGATGGCACCGGTCGGAGAAATTGCACCAGGGGCGGGGGGGGGGGGGGGGGGGTACTCATAGTCGTGCATGCCGTAGTCGTTTGACCATTGACCTCGCACCCCTACAAAGTCGGGACGGAGCACGCCGGGTTCTCACCGGACCAGGCTCTCACATTACCAAGCACAAAGCGCCGTGAGGTATTCGGCGAGTCGCATGAAGGGTGAGCTGCATCCTGCTAAGGGTGTTCGGCATCTTGTGCTTACTTCCTTGCGTACGGATGACAGCTGCGTATGACTTAATTTATTTTCTGGTGCTTTCACTTCCAGAGACAGTTATACGCACTGCTGTGTAACTGCCGCTTTACCATTTAAACACAACGTGGTGCGATTATCCCCCTTGCGCGGAGTGAGGCTTCTCCACCCCGCACAACATGATCTACTCGACCACCATTATGGCCCATTCCTTTGGCTTTCTTTGGCGAAAAATCGCACACGGCTGAGACCCCCAAAACCGCAAGGGTGCGAGAAATGGCATCGGGTGCGATTCCTTGGCGTTTTTTTTTCACGCCCCCCCCTGATGTAATCGCCCCCCCCCGGGTGTTTGCCATCGGGGTTGGGTTTTCGTCATGAGTATGAGTACACCCCCCCTGGTGTAATCGCCCCCCCCGGTGTTTGCCATCGGGGTTGGGTTTTCGTCGCTTGGCAACGACGTTGTAAAACAAGCCGCCCCCCCCGGTGTTTGCCATCGGGATTGGGTTTTCGTCACTTGGCAACGACGTTGTAAAACAAGCCCCCCCTTCGGTGTTCGCCATCGGGGTTGGGTTTTCGTCACTTGGCAACGACGTTGTAAAACAAGCCAATTCACCTCGTGAACTGGGCAACCAGGTTACCGTTTTTTTCTTACCTCTGTTTTGTTTTTGCGGTAACCATGCCCCGGGATACACCAGTACTGCCTAACAAGTAGATGGGCGGCTTGTAGCTGTACCTCTGGTTGCCGCGCTCTTCGTACTAGGGTTAAGGATTGGCCCCCCGCCCCCCAATGGGGCTGTGGGCCAACGTCCAGGACGGATGGTGGTGAGTGTCCGGGAGGACGGAAAGAAGAAGAAGAAGGGGAGAGGATTTGTAAGGGCGGGAAGAAGGGACGGTGTTGGGAGAGGCAAGAAAGTGATGAAGAATTTCGGCACTCGACGAGCGCGCGGTCCCGTCGGGGGTGAAAGGAACATGTCAGTCCGTAGTCTTGTCTATCGGAATCGAAAAGCCGAAAAATCGAGGTATACACTATGTACACAACGACGGAGAAGGCCGACGAGGAAGGTACGAAGAGAGGAAATTGCACCCCACGTTCGAACTCGGGGTGAAACCCCCCACAAGGATGGAGTGCGAAGGGAACAAAAAAAAACGGAGACGTCGACGTTTGTTTGCGTCGTGGAGCGATCCTTCTGTATATCGCAGGTACTCACCAACGCAAGACGGGGAGGTAAAATACCCATCGTGAAAGTCAAAGCGCAGGTCATAGCTGCATATGACTCATGCGCGGAGAAGTTACCACACGAAGACTTATCAACAAGAAGTTTGAAGGCCGGCTGAGGAGATTTGAAGACAGACACAAACACTTACGCGGCGACGATGGCAAGCGCAACGTCAAAACTTCACAAGAAGAAAAGTGCATACAAAAAAAGAAAAGGCCGGATGGCGACCTATGGCTCTCTCTCTCAGAATGAAGGGATTCCCACAATTTCCAACAGGTAGTCCATAAGTATCGAGGAGGACGTCGGAACGGTTTTTAATGTGGAGACAACAGCAACAACAACAACGATGAAGGTCGACCCGTCCTGCGTCGTTCAGTGTAAAATGATAAATGCAAAAGATGTACTGCGTAAAGATCCAGCGGTCTTTTTCGGCAGTGGCAAAGAAATATGCGACCACATGCCGCGAAAAAAAAAAAAGTTGAGCGGGATACTCTATTATAGTAAATAGAACACCGCCTTCTCTGTTGTTGCAGGCAGGTTTGCTTCCACAACCCGGGAGCCCAACCCACTCTTGTATTTCGGCCTTCAAGACTCCAATCGACACAAGCACCGGTAGGAGAGTGCGTGGGAGATGCCGTGACAGCACAACTCCACTCTCCTACGACATCTATGTACAGTAGTACTGCTGTCGTTGTAGCACCATGTGGAACATCTCCGAGGGGTCCTCCTGCGCGGTAACGACAACATGGCGAGAGCTCTTCGTGTACCTGTCGTCGACACATGTGGCAGCCGCGCGACACACGAACGGATGTTTGCATCGCACTGTACTATGCTTCGCCGTGGCAGGAAGTCTCCCATCCCGTTAGGTCGTTGCGGTACTTGTAGCACGCGGGCGTCGTTCGGCGTCTAGTCCATACTGCTGTAGCAAAAACACAGCAGCAGTCTAATCAAGCTAGTCTATGCATGAATTTTTTTGCTCTGGTTCACTTTTGCCTCCACAACCCGAGAATCCCACTGCTGTATCTCGACGTACAAGACTCCAATCAACAAACCAGCACTGGCAGAAGTGCGTGGAAGATGCTGTGACAGCACAACTAAGTCGACATTCGTACGACTTCCATGTAAAGTCGGCGTCTGGTCCATACTGCTGCAGAAATTCAAAAATCGAGCCATCTTTTTTTTATTTTTTTCCATACTAATAACAAGAAATGTATCACGTCACGACGACCATCCTGTAAGTAATATATATATATATAACATGATACTACCCGCGTCCCCATCCCTGCTATTATACATACAAATTGTATGTGTCTTTATTTTTAGCATCGACCGCGCTAACCGGCTGACCAATGAAAAACGTTCAGTCTCGGTGCGGTTAAAACACAACACACTTGTTTGTGTACGTGCGTATTTTGTGTATTATGTATGCATACATTCATTTTCGCGATTGTGCGTACACACATCATGAGATAGATGAAGGTATTTTGAAGCAGGTTGTACTTATCCGCCAATAGAGAGGCACTTTTCGAGGAGAGCAAAAAAGAGGAATATGTCAGGGTATTACAAATACAGTGATCCAGTTTGCATGCTACAATACATCTACAAA